AAAATTTCTCACATTTTCAAATATTTCAACATCAAACACGTCTTTAAAAAGTTCAGCTGAAGAATCATCATCATCATCATCATCATCATCATCATCATCACTACCACCACCAGGCATGCTAGATCCTAGAAAAGTCACTGATAATGATATAAGTGATTTAAAACTATTTATAAATGGTGAAATAATTCCTTTTAGAGTAAGTGCTATCAGACTTTTATTTTTAAAAAAATTTTTATTATTATTATTTATTAATTAATTTAATTTTTTTTTTTAAAAAAAGTCATCATTTATAAAAAGTACAATTATTAAAAACAAATTAAAAAATTTCTATGCTGCTGTTGGACGTGAACTTGCTATAAGAATGGTTAATGTTGAATAAATAAAAAATAAATTTTTTTTGCAGGTTATGTATAATGATAATGGGACAGTATCTTATAACTATAATAATAAATAAATTATAAATAAATAAATAAATTTTTTTTTTTAACATAATTTTGGATCTTTTATTAATGATTGTTCTTTAAAAAGTTGATTTATTATTGTTTTGATTTAATAGTGCAGTAGTTATTGGTGTTGTAATTAATAATAGTATTAACGAAAAGGATTGTGATGTTGACGATGATAATATTAATTGATTTAAAGATATTAAATTCGTTTTTTTATTTTTTTTTCTATCTTTCAAAGAATTTTTTTTTTATTTGATCTAATTCAAAAAAGAAGATAGTGTCGCTCACCATTCTTAAAGTTTTCAGGGGTAAGATTTTAATATTAATTGGCTGTCATTATTACACTCGAGTTTCATTCAAAGAAATACATATAGAATTGAAAAGGGCCCATTTTTTAAAATTTATATTAATATTATTATTATTAATTTTTCTCAAATTGTCTTTAGGGCAGAAATAATATTCAATTGTGAGAGTCTTTCTTTCTTGGATCGTTTCAGGAATGACTTTTTGAAAAGAAAATTGAAAGAAGGAAGGATGATTCAATCACAAAACAAGTAACCTGAGCTGCAAATTCACTTCTTCGGAGAGCAATTTGCTAGCATCTATATCCTTCAACTAATTTGACAACTTCTTTTCATCGACCAAATCGTCCACATTTTCAATCAATTACAACCAATTGCGGTTCTCATCAATCTTTCGTCCCCAAATTTATACAACATGCTGTAAACAATTTAAGAGATAAAAGTGTGAAATTTCAGCCTTGAGATTATGATAAAAATGTTATATTTAGATTAAAAAATTCGCATGAAATTAAATCAACAAAATCAACAAATAAAATCTGTCATACCTATTTTAATTTTCTTAAATTTAATAATAATAATAATATAATAATGTTTGATAAAAAGGAAGAAAGTTGTATAAATGATTCTATAAACATTTCAATTTATTCATTTATTGGATTCACTTTACTGAATTATTTAACAACAATATGTGCTTCGAACTTTACAGTTAAGTAATAAATAATGTTTATAATCTAAAAAAAAAAAAAATTTTTAAAAATTAAAAATTAATTATAAAATTTTTTTTTCTTTTACAGAATTTCTATAATAAATTAGATAAAAGAAAACAATCAATTTGGAATAATACATTTGTTCGTTATATTCATGCATGGATTTGTTCTATATTAACTACCCTGTGGTAATAACATTAACAATTAGATGATTTAGATCGTTATTATTATTAAGAAGCAGAAGAAATAATAATTAATTGAATTATTTATAATAGTTTTATTTATTATCCTGAAATATGGAATGATATGATTTATTCAAAGGCAAAATTATGTGCACTTCAAATAGCTTTATCAACTGGTAAAAAATTTCATTCTTTCGGTCAATCCCTGCTCGGATATCTTTAGATTATTATTGTTAATACTAATACTAATTTTAATGAACATATTACTGCTTTAGGATACTTTTTTGCGGATATGTTTGATTTTTTAATAAAAAATATATTTATGGATTCACCTGGAATTTGGTTTCATCATATTTTAGTAACAGCAGTATTTATTTCATCCACCTTGAGTTGTAAATATTTTCCATATTTAACAGCAACACTGTTGGTAGAAATTGGTAATATTTTCCTACATCAACGTAAACTTTACTTGACAGCCTATAAAACAAAAGTTACTTTTATTTACAAATTGAACTCATTATTATTATTATTATCATTTATTTTTACGAGGATATTATTACATATGTATTTATTAGTTAGAGTTTGGAATGAATATGGTTTATTTGATAGTTTAAGAAATTGGAGAATTGCTTTTTTTGGTATGATATTGATGAATATTTTAAATTTACAATTATTGCAACAATTATGGAGTTCAGATTGGAAAAACATTTTATTTTCCAATAATAACATAGATAAAAATAAAATCAAATTAAAAAAAATTATAGACGATA